AGATCATTCCCATATAAGAGTCTCCCTCAAGAAATATTGCTAAAGGCAGCAAGTATACAGAGGAACATACAAATTTGGAAACAGACAATAAGTAGATATAATTCAAATTTTACATGCAGTGTAGTAGAAGTGATGAGAAACGTAGTGATTAGACTGGTTCTATGTGTGGGCTATGCTATTGGAAAAGAAATAACAAGTTTTGAAATGAAAAGCTTAAAAGAGGTTAAAAAAGATTTGAAGTGATAATGTAGTTTGCATTTTTTTTAGGACCTTGCAGGAAGGGTCTCTGATGTTCCTACATTTCATTTTTCCAATTTGATTACCAAGTAATAGTCACTGGCAGTCTAATTACCCTACAGACTTAAAAAATGAAGTTACTTTTCATGATGCATTATCCAGAGGGTAAAGTGAGCCTTGAAAGAAAGACTAGGAAGATTTAAAAAGGCAAAAACCATGAACATTTTATTTTCAACTCATATGCCATGATAGACAATTGAAACTTAAATACCCAACAACCAAATACATTTAAGAGAATCAGTAAAAATAGTATGCTTTCATTATTATTCTGTATTTAAATATATAATGGGTTTAAATATAGTAAATATACTTAAAACAAGAAATTGGTTGTACCTAAGAGTTGCTTATGGATACCTAAGTACACATCTATCATGAGGAGTGTATTTAAACCAGTGTAGTTCTTCATGTCTGTTTTGTTGTTTTTAAACCTAGTCATCAGTGAGATAAAGAAGCATTAATATATTCACTGACAAGTGTAAATACTTACCTTTTCCAGAATTCAAGCACATTCTCCAATTTAAAACAATGAAATTTTCCTTCCCTTCGGTATTTTCACAAACACAATTCACAGAATGTTTTCTTAACTGTTGAGGGTGTAGCTGGCTCCTCAGATTCCTGATTTCTGAAAGAACAGTGTTCTAGAGGGTTTTGAGGATTTTATTTGAGCAAGAAAAGCAGTTGTTTATTTTAAATATGAAAGACAGTTTTTTAAAAACCATATACTTCTCTTGTGAAGATTAAGGCAAACTTGGGTGTACTTTAATAAAAGAATACTTTTGAGGTATCCTCACGTGTAGTAGCTAGAATGCTTCAATTCCAGAGATGTCCTCCACCACCACCAAGAGAGCAAGAACTCAGTGAAAGTTAAAAAAGAAACAAATGTAACTGGTCTTCACGTAAAACACAAACTTAAATCCTGAAAACTGAATGAATGTGCCCACTTTTGGCACATCAGTTGACTGGTACCAAGAAGGGTGAACAGATTTAGGGTCCAGAAAAACAGAGGGACTCCAGAAGCACAGATCAACTAGTCAGTTCTCTGACCTGCTTATTAGCAGCACTCAGCAGCCTCAGTCACAGGCCACTGTCACTTGGTAATATTCTGAACTAAGTAAAACTTGAGGACACAGCAGCCTGCAGGGGTTGAATTTGTGTCTTTACTGCTGTGGCCCTGTGAGCTGCAGCTGGTGGGCACTTTCCCACATGCCCACTACACCCGCCCCCTTGCCCTTCTGTCTCCTTGGCTTGCATCTGGCACATCAGATGCCCTCAGTTCTGCTCACTGCACTGCACTGCCCCTGTTGGCAACACTATTGGATGTTTTGCCAAATGGTGGTTTTGTTTGACAGTTTTTTAGTCTGTTGATATGTTCCAACAGCTGTTACATTTGACATAACCTATGCATTTTTTTTTATTGCACTTCAAGCACACTGTAGTAGTTTGCTAGGGCTGTCAAAACCAAGTACCACAGGCAAGATGGCTTAAACAAAAGAAATGTATTTTCTCACAATTCTGGAGTCTAGAAATCTGAGGTCAGGTGGCAGCAGGGTTAGTTTCTGCTGCAGCCCATCTCCTTAGCTTGTAGGTGGTCTTCTCTCTGTGTCTTCACATGGTGGACCCTCTATGTGCTTCGGTGTTCCACCTTCCTCCTCTTATAAGAACACCAGTCATCCTGGATTCGGGCCCGTCCTGATGACCTCATTTTAGCTTAACTACCTTTTTAAAGACCCTATCTCTTTTTGAGTCACGGTCTGAGGTACTGGTTAGGATTTCAACATAGGAATTGGGGGGATGGGGAGGTTGGGGAGTTTGGGGTACAGTTCAACCCATAGCACACACTTGTAAATTGATTTTTTAGGAGGTCTGTTACCCTGCTGGCCCCCTCCCTAAATTTGAGCTCCTAGAAGGCAGGAACTCTATGTCTTTTCTTGCAATGCCCAGAACGTCAACAGAGTCCAGCACATTGCAGGGCTCTCACAAACTCATGGTGAATGAATGCGTGGACAAAGGTATTCTGAGTTATTTGAGAGCAAGATGATGATTGTCATGCATCTTTTCTCCTGAGTCCTTCATTTTGGAGTCTCAACACACCACAGGCATAAGAGAAAATAGAGCTGTAATGTAGGTAGCATATATTTCCAGAACTTCTACCACCTTTTTCCAAAGCCAAAAATAAGTTTAAATAACCCCTTTAGATTCTACGTCCAGGAATATGCTGTGTTCTTAGAGACCAGCAGAAGAGGTTTTAAGAATGCAACAGAGTCCTCTATCCCTGTCATTTTTGGCTTAATGACTCTGAAGGAGAAGGGAAGACTTTACCACAAGGGAAAGTGACATTTATTTTTCCTAAAGTATACAGTAATCACTTCATGATTCAAGCACTAAAAAATGCTAAACATTAGAAATGTCCTTGGTCAATTTGTGGCTAAATTAATATGTTTCAAAAGAATGAATTTGAAGCAGGGGAGGAAGTTTCCTTAGGTGTGGGCTTTGCTGTCAGTTACTCATGTTCTTGAGGTCTTTTGCAAAAAAAAAAAAATCATTGATTCTTTTTCTTAAAAAAAAGAGAAGTTCTTGGAAAAACAAATTGTAAAAATAATAATTGCTGAAGCAAGCTAATTTTCCCTACTAATTAGATTTGGGTGGCTGTATTGATGCTTTGAACCTAAAAGTTAAATACTAAAGCAGTGTCATTTTCTTAAGGTAGAACATCACAGAAAAGTACAAGAACACAGACATACATTATTTGACTTTGCATTTCATTGCATCCCTGTGCCCATTAAGTTTTTGCATGTACTTTTATCATTTTTGGTGTATAATGGAACTTATTTCTCACTAATGTGTATTATTTTTAGTTGTACTGAAAGCATGCTTTTAAAATAGTAATGTAGAAATGTAGTCATTTTATATAAATGTATATATTAAGTGAACTTACAGTTTGATCCCATTTTGGGGTCTCCAAAATGAAGCCCAAATTGGGATTTTGTGTGCTGTGACTGTTTTAAGCCTTATGAAAGCTTGCATATTTTATATCACAATTTTGTGTTCTTCACCCATTCCTTGTTAAAGGAAATGTCGGGGTGGCTTGGTGTCCCCAGCTAGGCAGATGGTTGAATTCTCTCCATAGGAGTCAGGGAAAGCTGGGCAAGAAGAAAGAGTTTGGGACTGTGGGAACCACGTGGCCCAGAAAGCAGGCACAGTCCAAAACCAGAAAATAGGTCCAGGTCTTGCAGGAGGAGCTTGCATTTAAAACCTGAATGTGTGTGGTGACTGTGGACTGGTGTAATCTTTAAAGAGAGATGGTGGGCAGTTTGCTTTCTAGGATAAGTGAGGGTGTCAGGATAGTAGGAAGAAGTTTAGAATCTGGAAGCCTGATCTTACCTTACACTGACTGGACTTCGGGCAAGTCAGGTGATGCCTTTGAGTCTCTCTTTGTTCGTATCTGTGATGATAAGGCCTATTCACAATCTTGTCAGGATAAATTAGGTAATAATTTATGATGTGCCATTAATGTCACTGGAGTCAAGGAAAGGTAGTGACTATTAGACTGTCCCAAAGAATCAACACAGCTGTCCACATGTTCTACCTCAGACCCCTCAACCGAGTGGACTGATTGGGACATTGAAAACATGAGCACAGGGAGGAGGCTACAACACCTAGTGCTTCCAAAAACAAGAGCACCATGTAATCTGTTGCTAGCCTATTAATGTGGTGTGATTCTTAATATTATTTATTAAATGTGAGGCTTATTTACAGCATTTGGAGAATCAGAGCTGGAGGGAATTTTATCTAATTTCCTCCCCTCGCTTTAAGCAGGGCAATATCAAATGAGAATTAGCCTGAGCAGATGGTTATTAGATTCTGTTTCTAAATCTCTCAAAGAAGGTATCACTGTTTTCCTCTCTAAATTCTTTTAGTATTTTGACACTTCTTTTGCCAAGTTTTCCTTATAGCTGACCCAAACCTGCAGTTACAAGTTAAGCCCTAACCCCTACTTCTGTCCTTCCAGAGATGGAGTACAGCTGGTCAGCAACTTTCTTGTGATTATAACCCTTTGTATATTTAAGGAAAAGTTACTCTGTTCCACTCACTGGCTCCGCCTCTTCCCACCCCGCTTTCTCTGAATCATTCACAGCGATGCTGCTCCCATCTCTCTGCCCTCCCATCAGCCGCTTTACTACTTCCAGGCAGCTGGGCAGCTGTCAGTGACCAAATGAGCCTGAGGAGAATGCCAGCTGCCTCTTGCCTTCCTCTGTATACTTTGTGCATCCCAAGCCTTCTAATAAACAATCAAGATAATCTCTAACAGCGTTTGACGTGTGCGTGGCACATTTCTCTCATACGTGTGGACTTTGCCAGGATACTTACCATAGGTTGCCCTGAAAGTTAGGCCCCCTTGGTGCTTGCTTTGCTCAGCCAGTTGTGCCATGAGGCTGCCACTTTGTTTGCTAGAGATTGCTTTGATTGATATCTGACCCCTATTGGACTTCATCTTGGAAGACATTGAGCAGAAACCCTCCTGAGTGCAGTGTACAGTCAGAAGCACACCAGGCTAACGGACGTGATGGGCTTCCCCTGCACGCCAAGCCACAGTCAGGAAGTCAGTGAGGCTGAGGGGAATTGAGCTCGTTAAGTTCATCCCATGTGGTTTCAGAGTGGAGCCTGTTTTTAATCTGAATGTGTGTGCTTTTATGTCTCTGTAGGTTTATTACCCAGAGCTCTCTGTCTGGGTCAGTCAACCATTTCCAAACAAGGAAATGGAGGGAAGACTTCCCAAGGTAAGATTTCTAGCTGTGATTTTGTGAATTTTGTTTCAATTTAGTAGCCTTTTTTTACAAATTAGTTATTTATTTTTCATGTTAATATCCATTATAGTTTAATAAGCCATTAACCCAATACTATTATGACTTATATCCTAAGTCCCATGACTCTTAAAATTCACATTATCTTCCTTTTGACAAGCTCAAAGTCCAAAGTAAATTTTCTTTTAAGATGGAATCAATTTATCAGATGCATATTTTACAGATTTTTAATTTGTTCTATTCCTGAATGAATAAACTAAAATATGATGATCAATCTTAAACATATAAGATGATGACCATTTTGCCTGGTAATAGGGCCTGACTGTCTAATAAGGTTACCCATGAAATGAAACAGAAAGAACATAAAAAATTGTTATAGTTCATTCTTCTAATTTTTAGGCCTCTAGATATTTTCTATAAGCATGCTTTCATTGTTCTGACATTGTTGGTGTAACAATGCTCTGCCTTAAGAAAACTCATAAAATTTTAGATTTTGGCACCATTTTAGAAGAAATAACCCAACAAAAGCATTTACCAGTTTTTACTGTAGATACCTTTGGACTTTGCCTGTTAGGGTAAATATCAGTTTGACCTTAAGCAAGAGGACTGTACTTTTTACCACTGACCTTCTGATTTTGCAATTAATAAAGAAAAATAGAGTTCATGGAAGAAAGAATTTCCGTTTAAAAGTTTCCTAAGTGTAATTGGCCAGTGATGAGGCCTTCCCAGGTATAACCAATATTTCAGCAATTCCCTGTTTTACAGACAGGCAGAATTTGAAGAGATTGTATCAACTGGCAGTTTGCACCAAAAGGAAACAGTTCTAAATCATTCTTAATCTTTCAGAGAATTTCTGAAGGTCAGGGTTGAAATCTTTGGCAGGAAAGTAGGTGAACAAAATGATTTTTACCCTTCCTGAGCTCGACTTGTGCTGATCTTGTGGAGTTGGAGTGGAAGTGAGCTAAAATGCTGGAGCTTCGCTTAAACATACCCATGCCGCACCCCCACCCCGCACACCATCCCCCTGGCAGTGGCACTATGACTAGACCTTCTGCACCGGGCCAGCTCGGGGCATGATTCCCCTGAGCAGTTGAGGGTGAGGTGTGATAAGGGAAGGGGCAACAGAGAGTAGAGTGTTTTAATTAATCCTGGCCCCCTTCAGGAATCTGCGGTCTTCTCTTTGATGATGGTGACATCAGCTAGAGGGGCAAGACTAGGCAAGTTCCTCACAGAGGACAACAGGGCCGCCCTTCCCTCTTGGAAGGCTAGTCCAGGTCTTGCCTACACTGAGACATGCTCCAGAGGGTTGGCACAATGGGTCCTGAGATTCAGGGCTTTTGTTATTTTAAGTTCTTCCTCTCCAAATATGTGAATAATATTTTAAGTATAATATATTTGTCCTTTTTCCAACAGCTTCCTTCTGGAAAAGCACATCTTTGTATAATCATAAGAAAGATAGCACTGACTTATTTGGTCCAAGACACATGACTGAGTAACTGGGGGATTCTTATACTTAGTCTTCAGCAGAGGGAGTTGTCCAGCTGGTGGGGGATCAGTTCTGGGGGCACCCGGGAGAACCAATCTCTGGGAGCCACTGGTCTCACCTGTCCCCCTCCTCCTCTAGCCTTTAGTTATGCACATTCCTCAGTCCTGTAAGGACTGTTGTGTATTAGATGATGGAGGGAGATATAATTATTTTTGCCTGAATTCTCCTAAGGCCTGACTTGTGGAGAAGTAAGACATCATTGTGTCCCCTCTTCCAAATACCTCCTCTGTGAGCTGTAGAAGCCTGACATTCCTTCTGTGCCAGTAGAAAGACTGTTCTTTTTCATGGGCATTTGGGCCTCAAAAGAGAAAAAATAGTAAAAATGGTAAACTCAAATCTGAAATAATCTCCTCACACTTTTTTTCTGGAAACACCTCTCTCCAAATCACCCAGATCCCACCCAGCAGTTCATTTCATTTTGTTGTGTATTTACCATGAAGGTGTAAAAGATAAGTAAGACTGAGAGTTATATAGAGACAGACTAATGTTCTATATACTCACTTCTCAACAGAGTCAGTCTAAACTGAAGTAAGCAATTTTAAGGGCAGCCATATACAAAATAGAGTTGTTGAGTGAAATGATGTTTATGTTTTCCTTCCTGGCCTGTGACAATTAGCAGCCACTGAATTCTTCGTTTGTCCAAAACCTAAGCTTGTGCTAAAACAGGTTGATGGGGGAGGAGGAATGAGCCTTATTTTAAAGGCACCAGGGTTACAGTGGATTTCTTTTTTTAAGTTTTCTTCCCAAGGGCATCAGTTACCTTGTGGCTGGATTACTGTAGTCAGAAGCCTGAAACCTCACTCGGGACTGTAAGGAGAGACTTAGACTAGCCCCCATCAGTCCAAATGAGCTGAATCTGGCATGTGGCCTTGGTTTGGCTCTGACCCCACCCCCACCCCCAACCAACTCCACACCATTTCCGTCCCAGACATGCCCACCTTTGTTACCACTTCTGGATTCTCATCCTAAGGCCTGCATGGACTGTGCAAGTTACTTACAGAGTAAGCCATACATAAGTTACATTTGTGATATGCTTTTAAATATTTGTATTACATATTAGAAAACAGGCAGGTGCCCTCCTTCAACCAAAGCCACTGAGCCCTTAAAAAATACGTCTCTTAACACTGCCACAAGCACTTCCTATGCAGCCTCATGTCAGGCCCTCTTGATACTAGAAACTCCTCAGAAACCCAGCTCTGGGGAATGCTACCTCCCACGTGGCCGGGTGTAGCCATCAGAGAAGCACTTGATGCTACTGTGGCCAAGGAGGCTAGTGTTTAATTACCTCATGCCCCCACAGACCTAATATTTACATTCAGGTGAACTGTGTTTAATATGTAAACTCTGTTTGCAAAACTTTGGAGTTCAAGGATAAAAGGCAGGAGGGAGAAACAAAAATGGTCAAATGGTTTCAGAAGCATGACTAAGTATGTCTTGTTTTTGTGTCTGTCTGCCTGTCTGTGGGCCCTTCTGCTTTTCAGGGAAGACTTCCTGTCCCGAAGGAAGTGAACCGCAAGAAGAATGAGGAGACTGAGGCTGCCTCCCTGACTCCGCTTGGCAGCAAAGAACTCCACTCCCCAAGAATCAGTTACCTCCACTCTTTTTAATCGTTAACACCTCCATTTGTATTACATATGGTGTATGGGTATTGATGAGGTCATGGTATCATATATGGGATTTTTTTCTGTGTAAATCATCAACTATAAGAAGAAACTATGGGACTCTGAGCCTTGCTTTAGAGAACTTCCAGTGGACAAATAGGTGTCATCAAACCAGTTTTTAATCATTCTGACTCAAGTGAAAACGCTCAGAATTTCACACTGTGAATCCACGTTTACAACCTTTACAGGTGGGCCTTCAGGCCTGGTTCGCTACGACAATGTCTTCCACAACTCAAACTCTCACAGCTCTCACACAACCGGTCCACTCCTGCCTTTTCACTCACATAGCTCCCGACTGCTTCTTGCAGAGGCTGAGAGTCCCCATTTTTTTTTTCATTTAGATGTAACAAGCCTAGTAGTTTATGTTCATCAATTGTCTGTATATCTCTATATTTTATCCATGTACTCTTTTGATGTATAGAAGTAGTTCGAAACTCATTGTTTCCTTGTGGTAAGTGACCGAGATGCTGCCACAGGACCTGAGACACTGATGAATGGTGCTATTTTGGACTTTCAACATGCTCCTTGGCGAGGTAGCTCTGATGGAGTTATTTTTTATTTCCATGTTCTAAGAAGGTGTTGGTACTCTGTTTCCCTGAATGTCGTTCTCTAGACTGGATTGACCTGTTTTCCTCGTGTCTTCCGTGTGGCTTTCTTCTTAAGCGTTGCAGGTTGAGCGAATGCTACCAGAGAGCGCGAGGGGCCCACATGTCATTGGCTGGCCCTCGCGGACGCAAGTCGCTAGGGCGGGAGCAATCACAAAACTGTAATTTACTTACCAAATCTCTTCCTTTTGGTAGCCTCGCCTGCCTGACTTAGAGAAAGAAAAGCAATAATTTGACAGGTGTTCTTAGGTGTCTTTTGGTTCTTTCTGTTGGAAGGGGGTATTTGGGGAAGAGAGGGCAAACTCTTTTTTAATGTGCCCTCTGAAAAAAATCCAAAAATCAGGCACCTGAGTAGAAATCTGAAAATGACACCCTCCCCAAAAATTACGTAGGAAAACAATGTTTTTACAAAATAAGAAAATAGAAAAAGGCAGAGCACTCTTTTTCGGCAGTTGTAACAAGCAAGGTGTAGATTTTACATTTTTGTCCTTGCTCCCAGTGAAATGGATAAACAAAAAAAATCAGACAATACCATCTACTCATGGAATGTCGTTGTTAGCCAGTCTGAAAGCCCGCCTTAATTTTTATATAACCGTCTTTCAGCTCTTCCTTTGGCAGGGCAGGCGCTGTTCTGAGCTCTTCTGCTTCTGACTGTTGAACACCGACGACGCATGCGCTGCATTTCTTCATTCTCTTCTCACTCCCCCATTGGCCTGAGTTGCTCGTGCATCCCTTCCCTCCCTCCTTTGTTAGAGTAGGTATACCAGCTGTGTAAATAGAGCAAGAAAACAGTATTCTGCATCTGTGGCATTTCTGTAGAGTTGCAGTTGTGTACTGCTGAAAACGCAGGCTTTTGTAACAATGTGATCTTTACTGATGCACTCAAGACAAGTACCCAACGTATTTTAGCTATTTTAGTAGTATTTGTTCAATAAATATGCAAGCTGTAAGGTACCTGGCTTGGCTCGTCATTGGAAAGGCCTGCTTCTGAATGCTCTCACCGGCTCGTGTTCATTCATGTGTTCTCAGGGCCCCGGAAGTAGACCCAGGGGCAAATGTCAAGAGAGAGAAGCAGCTCTGCCTTGCAGGCCTTTTCCCTTTTGAAGGTCTTGGAGATCAGGGCCAGGCAGGGGCTCATTAGGATGGCATTTGCAGAGCTGCCTCTGGACACAGAGGAGAGTTGAACCAAGCCTTTTCATTTCTACAGTTTTTCCCCTTTCAGGGCACTCCCTCACACCTCAAAACTTCCTTTTTAATTCTTACCATCAAGACCTGTGGTATTCTCCATCCATGCTGAAAGACACCTCACCTCACTTCTTCACAGAACATTTGCATTTAACACACAGATGAAAGGCCTACACTTGTTAGAGGATAAAAATTTGAGATAGATGTTAAGTCATTAATTCATATGTACACAGCTACCTGAAATCTAGCAGGTGGTAAGATGGCATCACCAGAATCTTCCGTGGCCTCCTGTGATCCTGAAACCCAGCAAGTCGGGATTCGTGCTCTCCGGTGCCTGCTGCTCTCTTCTCATCCATTATGAGAGTGAAATGTCAGCTGGCCTGACACACAAACTGCTAAATGGCTGGTTGGGTTCAGATATTTGAGTCTCACCCGAACAGAGGCTGAGGAACAGACCCCTAAGAGCCAGAGAGAGAAGGGATGGGAGCAAAAGATAGCGAAGCCCCAAGCTGGGAGCTCATGCTCTGAAGAGGGGATCAGCTGTTCTCCGAGAAATGTTGGGTCTTGACATGTGTGCCAGGAGGGACTTCTAGATTGAAGAGTTGCTTTTGAAATCTGCAATCTTAGATTCTGGTTACGTTTCCTATTTACCCTCAATTTTCAGTCTTATTGAGAGAAAGGAGGAGTAGTAGGGGAGAACTAAATCCCAACTGCCTACCAGATAACCTGAGTTTGTTCAGTCTGAAAGAAAATTCTTAAAATGGAGCCACCACCTCTTTTGGAATCCCATCCAGAGGTTCATACTTGTGAATGTAAGAGAAGTCCTCCTTACACTGAATCACCTTTTGTCTTATAAACAATTGCCGCCTTCCTCATCCACCAGACTCCCATCGCCGGTTTGCTGTCCCTTGTGTGGAGGGACCCGTTTTGCCTTCTTCCTCTTGCTGAGTGAAGATCAGAGAAAGGCGGTGAGGTCGGGCCACACTGGTGATGTGGCCTGGCTGCTTCACTCCCACCTGTATTAGTTACCTATTGCCGTATAACACATCAAAGCCATAATTTGCATCTTGAAGAAAGAAGCTTTTCTTACCTCACAGATTCTGTTGGTCAGGATTTTAGGGGCCATTCAGCTGGTGGTTCTGACTCAGCACCTCTCAGGAGTCTGCAGTCAGACATCTAAAGGCTTGACCAGGGCTGAGAACCTGCTCCCAGTGTGGGTGGCTCACATGGCAGTTGGCAGGAGAACTCCGTTTTCCCACTCTTGGTCTTCTCCCTAGGGCTACTTAAGTGTCCTCGTGACCTCTGGCTTCCCTCAGAGCAAGTAATTCAAGAGGGAGTTGGGAGCCAGCCACAGTGTCTGTGACGTATTCTCAGAAGTCACATCATCCGTCATATTCTGCTCATTAGAAGCAGCTCACTAAGTAGACCCCACACTCACAGGGAGGGAATTAAGCTCCACCTCCTGCAGGGAGGGGTGTCAAAGAATTGATGGACCCTTTTTAAAACCAGCTCATCTGAAGTGAAAGCACACAGGCAATTGCAGGCCAGGGGCTGGAAGTCAGGAGGGCTGGAACCAGACTTCTAGCTGCTGCTTTCATTGAGGTTTTCACAGTCCTTGGAACTCCAGAGATAGAAGGCATAGGAGGAGGGCATCCAGGAACTATGACCTTGGGGCTGCGTAGCCTCCATTTACTAATCCAAGTGTTATTAGCCCTGAAGGGAATATTTACAGAAAGTTGTTGGGAGCTGTAAAAAATGATGTCTAAAGCTCCGTCCAAGTGAATGGACCTTGGTTTGCTAATGAGACCCTTGGCTTCCAGGAAGCTTGAAATATCAGATGATTGACCCTGCACTTCACTCTAAACGGCAGGACCCGCATGTGAGGACCAGCTATGGACTTGTGAAAGATGAATAACTGCTGGGGCAGAGCTAAGAAATTGGAGGCTAGCTGGAGTCAGAGCAGAGACCCAGACTATGACTAGAGACTATTCTCTCTCTGGAGGCAAAAAATGCCACCATGCTGCCTCTGGGCAGAGATGGTTAATCAACAACTGTGGGTCAGCTCTGACCTGTAGATTTGTTTTATTTGCCTGTTATGTGTTTTATAAAAACATTGATACAATCGCCAACATGTACAAATTGTAAGATTTCACATGCAAATGCAGGTTTGTGGCTTCCCTTAAAAAATAGAAGCTTTAGCAATAGTTGGGTTGTTGCTGAGCAACCTCGGCCACCTTTGGTGAGGCACGCCCCCTCCAAGATCCAATCTTTTCCCCTCTGGTTTCCTTACACCCTGTCTGGATCATTCATTTATATCACTGGCCTGCCTCTGTTGGCCTGTGAGCTTGCAACACTAATCCTCTGGTTTCAGGGCATGGTGATATCAGCGCTTATTTACCAACAATGGGCCAGGGACCTCCTCAAATCTTTTTTGTCTGATAGCTGGAACACATGCAGGTCTTGAAACACCAGACTGGAAACAAGGCTCCTCATCTCTGTTCCCGAAATGTTCTGCGGCAGTTCCATCTGCACCTCTGGGCCCTCTTTTAAACTCTTCAATTACCCTCCCTGAGCAACTGAGATCCCCAGCGTCAGGTTAGGCTATACCGGGTCTGATAGCCTCATGATTTTCAAACTAGGGTATGTGCACCTCAAGGTGTGTCCAAGGAGGACATGTTCATGGATAGGTTTAAGGGAGTTTCCAGATCCTCTAGACATACTGTACTCTTTCCTAAAACTGATCTGCTGAGAATGAGTCATATTTATAATTATCTTTTCCCCATAAAAGAAGGATATAGGTAGGTCTCACTGATTCCCAATCTTAATATGACACATTGCCCTTATGTGACACAAAAACCCAAGATGTGACAAAGAAAAAGTTTCCTTTAACAATTAACCATAAATCCATAGAACTTTGGGCTTTCCTTTCTTATACACACATTAAGAGTGATATGAGGTATTTGGACTCATGGATATTCAGAATTCAGATAAGTAATAAAGTATAATGATGGAAATAATGACAACTTCTTTTTAATGGCTTTTCCTCTTCTACTTCCTGGCTCTTGTCAGAAAAGGCCTTGCTCTTAAGGAAAAGTCCTGAGATGGTAAAGCGAAAAGAAAATCAGCACATACAGAATACCAAAAATTAGCTTCTTTGTAATTGTAAGCATTTATTTTCCATAATTCTCCATACTTATCCCTGGGATATATCTTATCTGGAAAGAAAAGTAACTTATAACAGCTCAAGCAATATAGGTTTGCAATGCTGATTATTTTAAATGTAATTAGAATGCCTTTTGGGAAATACCACATTTTTAGGAGATGAAGTGCATAAAGCCCAAGGATAAACTTTCATGTGGGTTTTTTCAACTGTGATGTTCATTAGTTAATGAAGTTGTTAAAACCTGGTGTATCAAACAATAGCAAAATGTACTTTTTTCAATTGTAGTCAATTCTCATCACATTCTCTTTTACAAAATGTTTAATATCTTTTTCCTAATTACAGCAACAAAAAATAATGTGCTCCTAGACTGATTAGAAGCCTAGAACCTGTTTATTCTTGGTGATGTTTCTGATTTGTGTACTAGTTCTTATTTATTCTCCAAAGCCAATAGCCTCACACAGTTTTACCAGAGATACAAATGCCTTTTATCATTCTTACTCCATATGAGAAAGTGTGTATCAGTCATCTTGTTCTTACTACTTACTTAAACATAGAATAATTAATTAAATATATATCATCTTAATTTTGGTTGTTTTTAGTGATCCAGTTTCACAGGTTGTTCATTTAATTCTCACATTTTAGTGATCAATTTCACAAGATAAGCTGTTAATTCTCATTGAGCTTTATATTAATTCTCAAAATAGCTATTTGACTTGAAAAATGAAGTAAAGTTTTTTTTCAGACATAAAGTCTATTTAATTTGGTTAATTTATTTGACAATGAAGATTGGCTCTGCCAATGATGTTTGTGATAGACATTTTCCATAAGTGAGCTACATTTGAAGCTCCAAAGTAATGGTAATATATTTAAAGGAAGAAATAAGGTCAAAACAATTTATCAAAAAGCATCATTTTGCCAAAAGTGTAATGAAATTAATAATATATCTGGTTTTCCTATCATTTCTGAAGACACAGGATTTTAAGAGGTGAGTGTAAGTGGAAGTGTTACAGCATAATTAACAGCAGTTCAGTGAATCTCAGGGGAGCTCTTCCGGTATACTTCCCAGAAATTGAGAAAGTGAATTATTCTAGTGGCAAGAGCAAATCTCTTTGCCAGTGATATGCTTTCATTTTTTGATAATAGATTTTTATATGAATATTGGCATATGACATAGAAAGTTCAAAGAAGTGGATTACATGGCTATACTAAAACACTTTCAATTCCTACAGTTTACATCTAGAAACAAAAATTAGAATGCCTGCCAATCCCTGTCTCATTCTAAATTCATGTGCAGATATATGAACAACTGAAAATATTCATCGCCTCATTAAGAGATGCACATGCAGTACAATGTCACTTCTCATATGTAATGAGCAGTATGATAGATTCGTGTTGTTTTAATAATCTATTGTTAATGATAGTGTGTTAATTAGTGTATTGTTAATAATGATAATTCAATCAATCACAGTTTTTTTTAATGCTTAGAGTTTATGGTCACAGAAAATGAAAGTTTAAAAATATAGATATATTTTTCTTAGAGATAAATGTGATAAGGTAAGTGAAGTCTTTTCAAGCAAAAATTATATTACATTAAGGTAAAATTCTT